GCAGAGGGACTGGGTGTAATGTCAATGGTGAAATGAGCAGAGGGACTGGGGGTAATATCCACTGTGAAATGGGCAGAGGGACTGGGTGTTACGGCTTGAGGGAATGGGAGGTAGTGACGGAAAGTCAGGAGCCACAGTGAGCCCACAGCTTGTTATAGGAGCCAGCACAGAGGCTGATCAGAGGTTTGGTTCTATTTATAAAAAGTTCCCGAAATAGGAACTTGTTTAGCAGATGACAGTGCTAAGAGGTACACACTCAGGTCCTAAAAACGCCCATAAGAGTGTGGGATTGACTGCTGGGTTTTGACAAGTGGGGGGTGACAACATGCCCTTTCTTGACGTTTTGTGCTGGTGCTGTGGGTAATTGTTTTGTGGAAATTCATAGTGCTGTAGATCTAAAAAAATATTTTTATTGGCTTTGTCTACTTTTCTCTGTGTTAAATTTGACATTTAAGACATTTTCATTTAGGATGAGTGTGGTGGCTCACACCTATAATCCCAGCACACTGGGAGGCCGAGGAAGGAGGATCCCTTGAGCCCAGGAGTTTGAGACCAGCCTGAGAAAAAGTGAGACCCCTGTCTCTACTAAAAATAGAAAAAAATATCAAAAACAACTAGCCAGGAGTTGTGGCGTGTGCCTGTAGTCCCAACTACTCAGGAGGCAGAGGTGGGAGGATTGCTTGAGCCCAGGAGTTTGGGATTGATGTGAACTGGGCTGAGGCCACGGTACTCTAGCCGGGGCTATATAAAGCAAGACTCTTTCTCAAAAAACAGAACAAAACAACTAAAAAAAGATTTCATTTAAAGCTATTTTGTGCCATCATTTTTTGTGAAAAGTCATCTGTTGCTTTGAAAATAATCTTTTTTCTCTGGCCACTTTAAATGTTTTTTCTCTTTGTCTTGGGTTTTTTGCTGTGATGCACATACCTAGGGTTTCTGGTTACTCCTCCTGCCTGGACCTCACTGGTCTTGAGTTTGTGCTCTGACGTGTTATTGGCAGTGGGAGGTTTGCAGACATCATTTTGCAGCTACTACTGCCTCCTCTACTGCCACAGCCGTGTGTCCCAACGCACGTCTTTGCTGTCCTGGCTGAAAACCATTTTCGGTCCCTCCTTGGAGTCTTCAGCTCAGCAGGTGGGCAAGGAGTTGGGCAGGGGAAATACCTGTCCCTCTCTACACCAGAGTGCCCTTCTCAATTCCCTGTACCTGGCATGGGCAGTTCCTCTCATTTTAAGCAGGATTGAGCAGTCTCAGTGGGCCCTGTAGTCTGGGTGATCAGAGATCCCTGTTCCTCCTTGAGGCTCATCCACCTGAACTAGCCATCTCTATTCTGTGGGAGCAGGAGGACCGGGGAACACATATCCCTGGCCTCAAGCCCCTGGGTGTACAGCTGAGAGCACACAACTGACAGAGTATTCTGTGGGTCTCCAGTGTCTGGAGAAGGGTATCAGGTTCCACTCCCTCGCTGGAGTGGGCAGTGGGTTTGGCCAGTGCATGGGGGTCTGGGCCACTATGGTCAAGGTGAGAGAGGCTGAAGGATAGTTCTACAGTGCCCCCTCCCAGCACACACATATGCAAACTATCAAACACACAGGCACACGCGTACAAACGATCAAACACACAGGCACACACAGACACCAGTGCACAGGGTCCACACGTTAACACATGCACATGTGTGCACTCACACACAGAGTCTACCCAAGCACATGTATCCATCTGTGCACACAGCTCATACATGAACATGTGTACACTTGCACCCAGCCACACACAGGCACACACATGTACACACACAGATGTATAGCCAGGCTCGGCCTCTTGGCCCCCTCCCCATTTGGCCCCTTGGTCCTGGTCCCTATTAGATGGGCTGTGAGCCGGGGGCAGAAAGCGAGACAGAAAAGTCACCTGAGAACCTAAAAGATACAAAAGGATAGAGAGGCAGGTGGGAGGAAGCCCAGGAAGAGTGAGCGAGGGTGGCCCATTCTTTCATCCACACATGTTTGCTGAATGTCACATGTGTGCCAACCACTGCACAGATCAAATAGAATGGGGTGGGGAACCTGGTGGAACACCCCACAGGGCAGGGAAAGCTGTGAGTCCCAGAGCCCAACTCAAGCCAGTCTTCCTGCTGATGGCAGGAACATGGCTGCTGCCCAGGGTCATCACTGACTGCACCATGGCCCCCTCTGGTCCCAAGGGTGCAAGCCACAGCCTCTGGAGTGCCACGTAGCCCAGGGATGAACACAGACATCCTGCAACCCAGGGTACCTGGACTGGCTGGGAAGGGACAGTCCCATTTCTCCAACAAGGACCCAGAAAGCCTCTGAATGGGCCCAGGCTCATTCAGAGCTGGCCATATCTCTCCAGCAGGTGTGTGTCAGCAGCCTCAGGCTGTCAGCCAGGGCATCATTATAGGATTAAGAAAATGAGCAAAGAAAACATCCCGTCCACTGCCCCCCACCCCAGAGCATAACAAGCTCTATGGACACTGAGGCACCCTGGGCTGACCTCATGACCCAGGAATCCCATCTCCCCTGAATGCTGGGAACAGGGCAGCCAGGGTCCCCTTCTGAGGCCCAGCAGCCTGTCCCGAGGTGTTCCAGCTCGACATCCCCCACCCCCGACCGTGTGTGGCAGGACCACCTACTTGGGTGCCCCTGGCCTTCCAGCTGCACCCCGACCAGCCTGTAGTCTTATAGCGGCCCCCACTCCACCATCACCTCTTGCCCAGGGTCAGGGGTCAACACTTTGCAGGTCCCCCAAATCAGGACCACAACCTGGTCTCACGCACTGTGCTCCTGTGCTGCTGTGTCCCAACTTGTGCCCGTCCCACTTGCTGTAAACTTTGGCCCCCAGCTCAGGGTCCTCTGAGCCCTAGGCCCTGGGCCTCATATCTCTGTGGAGGCATCAGGTGTGTGACTCCCTCCTCTGGCAAAGTGATTTTCCAGACCAAGGTCAATGACCCCCAGAGCTGCCGCTCTGTGAGGCCCCTACCCCATCTCCCATGATGCCTGTCACCTCCCATAACACCTGTCGCCTCCCCATCCCGAGCACAGTGCTCCAGACCCTCTGCCCAGGCAGCTGCTGGCGTGTCCTCTCCACAGCCACGTGCTTGTGGGCCTGGAAGCTCGTGGCGCTGGCCCCTGGCTCTTCTCCCCCTTGGAGGGCAGTCCTCCTCGTGCAGCTCCCACTCTGGGTGCAGGGCCCAGCTCTTACCCCTGCCCCTCCCACACCTCCCTCAGCACCCCAACTGCCAATCCTGCTGCCCAGCACCCTCCTTCCCACCCTCTGGCCCAGACTCAGTCCCCATAGCTGCCTCAGTCCACTCTTACCCCCTGCCAGCTGGTCTTGATACTCCAGAGGGCACGGTCTTCAGAAAACACAGAGTGGCCCTGTCCTCACTCCGATAAAGGCCACCTGCCCTCTGTGGGACACCAAGTCCCTCTAGACTGTCCTGGAACAACTACTTCAGTTGCAGTCCTATGGTCACTGGGCCCTGCACTGTCCTCTCCTCAGACTTGTTTTCAGGAATTGATTGCTGGCCCCTGCCACCCTCTCCACGGGACCAGCAGTCCCCTGGCCACCGCATAGCAGCCTCCTGGCCATGTGCAGCCACCTGCTGTGCTGACCTCGACCTTTGCACTAAAGTTCTCAGCTGGTCTTCACAGGGGTTGTGAGCAATGGGAGGCTGGTCTCTGCCTCACGGGAAGAGTCAGGGACAAACCTGGTGGAGGGTCCTACCTGGCCCCGAGTCTCCTGAGGTGGGCAGGAGCTGGCAAGGGTCTGTGCTGCCGGGCTGTGTTTGAGCCGAGTCTGTTCTGACTCGCAGCCAGCAAGGGCTCCACATGCTGGATCACCCCAAACCCCCAAGGCAGGATACCTAACCTTCTAGGGACCTGTGCTGGGGACACCCTTGGTTCCCTGTCAGACGGCCTGGGTTACAGAGCAAATTTCCCTCTGTAAAGCCAGCTGTGATGCAGCCAATCCCAAGGTGGCTCCTAAGCACCCACATTTCCCTTCATGCCCTGCCTGGGGTGTGGGATGGAAGGCAGGCAGAAGAGTGCAGGGATTTTATTGAAAGTTCATAGACACAGAGCTCTGAGCAAGGCAGCAGGAGGCAGAGGGGCGGAAGAGAGCGATTCCCCAATACTGGCAGTCCCTCAGCCTGGGAAGCTCTCGTATGAGCCCTTCTTGCTGGGTGTCAGGTCTGAGGGGCCCTGAGAACCCACAAGGGGAAGGGCCCACTAGGGGGGATGGCAGCCACTGAAAGCCGGGGCGCAGCAGCATGGGGAGAGGCCCCTTGCCCCGGGGACGGGCGGAGGCAGGGGCGAGGGGCAGCCTTCGATGGTTCACAGCTCAGGGCACCCCAGGGCAGAAGCCCCAACCTCACAGGAGCTACATCTGAGCCATCATGAAAGTAAGACGTCTCTGCTGGTCTCTGCGGTTGAGCTGCAGCCTCAGTAGTCAGACAGCGGATACCGCAGGAAGATGAAGACCAGGATGATGCAGGAGGCGGCTAGGGCAGAGCTGGTGATGTTGAACAGCCGGGCTGTCTTAGCATCCTCCACGGCCCCATTCAGGTCATTGAGAAGCTTCTTGTCCCGGACCTGAAGGGCAGCAGAGCAAAGCGTGAAGGAGCATGGCCCGGCTTTGTGCTGGCCGGCGTCTGGGCAGGACTCTGGAAGTGTGTGGGGGCGCTGGGCGTCGGGCCTGGAACCTGCTCTGAATGGAAGAGTGAGCCTGGCAGAATGTTAACGTCTGGGTGAGGTGCATTGAGGGATTATTTCTCTTTTTTGCGACTTTTTGGTAAGTCCAAAATTATTTAAAATAAAAGAAGTTGGCCTCAGGGAGAGCAGTTTGTCCAGATTCGATGGCTCCCACCTATTCTGAAATCAGCTGGGAGGCCCTGAGGGTGGGCGCTGTGCTTAGACAGTAAGGTGGCATCCCTGGCCTGGAAATGGAAGTGGCAGCACAGAGTGTGGCCTGAGCCCTGAAGTCCTGGGGAGGCAGGGGACTGAACTGACCCTCTTCTGAGACTCCACCTCACCCAGGACCAGTCTTAAGTGCACCTTTCTTCCCACAAAGTCCAAATCAGAACAGGCTGAGTGAGCAGCCCGTGAGCAGATCCTACATGGGAAGGGTGGAAGGACAGGAAGGGGCCATAGGTGTCCTTAGAGGAGGGTGGGCAGATGGATTTGTGGATGGGCTGATGCCTGTAACACCCAGTGAGTGGGCTGGGCAGATGGACAGCAGTCCAGGGGGCTACTGCAGTGTGAACCAGAGGGCAGTTGGGTACACAGTTGGAGAGAAAGGGAGGTGGAAAGATGGGTACATGGATGTGTGGCCTGGGGTGGAGGGAGGGAGGGGAAGGAGATGGAGTGAGGGATGGCGAGGGCAGCAGGGGTGGGAAGGAGAGGGGAAGGAGAAGGCCGGTGAACGGGAGATGGCGGAGATGGCGGCCTGGCAGGTGGCTACACAGGATGTGAGTGAGATGACAGAGGACATGTGGGGCAAGGGCACAGGAGGAGAAGTCTGTGCTTCCCTGCGGTGAAGTGATTCTGGAGGGACTGACCTCTCTTCTTCCTTCTAGGAACAGAACGTGCACCCACCTATTCAGCTGCTTCGATGCCCCTGAAAATGGAGTTTTGTGCTTTTTTCCAGAAAGAGCTATTGCACCTTTGTTAGACTCAGTTTTCATCTATTTATTTTGTTTTTATTATACGTTAAAATTACATTTGAAAATTATGTTTCTAACTGATTTTTGCTGGTATAAAACTGTTTAGCTCTCTCTTGTAGACTGTTTTTGTATATTTAGATAAACTGTCCAGTTGTGACAATGACCAAGTTTTGTCACATAAATGGCACCTATGCAGCCAGCAGCAGTCTCACTCCACCTGCCCCCAGCCAAGCAGGCCACTGGTCATAAGCACAGGTGCCGGACCCTGCCCCCCGCCCCCTCTATGTCTGGGCCCTGACTCTGCTGGTGACCTTGGGCTAGTCAGCTGCATCCCCTGCCAGGGCAATGACAGTGCCTGCTCCCAGGGTCATCACTGGGTCTGGCCAGGGCAGGCCCCTGGGGTGCAGTCAGGGGAGACATCTGAAAGATTCCAACAGCAGCAGTGGGAAAATCCGCCCCAGGGGTTGAGTTCGTTTTGTTACTAGAGTCTATTGTGCTAAAACATCTCTGTAACATAATTCACTAACGGGCGACTTTCTTATGGTAAAATAGCTTTGGGTTCCTATGCAACCCTGGGGCTGTGGACTCCACATAGGACCCCTGGGATGAGGAAGAGAGTGAGACAGGGATGGTGTCTCAAGTGGATGGTCTGTGGGGGGCAGACTGCTGGGGCGGCTGGGTGGGTGGATGGGTGAGGAAGGAGAAGGTGAGGAGGAGGCAGGCTGGGAGGTGACACAGTAACTAGAATGCTGGGTGGAGGGCAGCAGAGTGTGGACAGGGACTGGGGGGGGGTGGACATGGGAATGTGTACCATGCGGGAGGCTGGTATGGAGATAGGAGCGTGCATGGGTTGGGTGGGCCAGCAGGCTGGGAGGGTAGATGGGTTTAGAAATGCAGATGCCCCTGGTCCTCTGATGGGGTCACATCCCAATGTGCCCATCCTGAGCGTCAAGTACCTCAAGTAGATACTGGGTTTATCCAGACACAGCCCCAGAGTGGGCTGTGTGCATGTCACTTTCCCTCTCTGTGAAGATGAAAATGCGTACGTCACACTGCTGTAAGTTGGGGACTGTCTGCATGTTCTGGCTGCGTGAACAGGTGCCTACATGGACATAGAATACATGTCAAGGGGCCAGAATAGATGGCATAGGGGGGTTAGTGGATGTGCGTGGATGGTTGGAACAGGCCTGCAGGCCGACACACGTGTACACACGTGCTGCCTGGGGGGAGTGGTCAGGCAGACAGAGGGGTTTACAATTTCGTGTTGGGGGGTGAGACTGTGGTTGGGGGCAGGAAGGAAGGTGGCTGGACACCCAGGTCAGCATGCAGACTGGTGGCTGGTGTGGAGCCGCTTGCTGGGCGCTGCTGCACCAGGTCCTGGGTGTGTAACAAGGAACAAGACAAAGTCCCTGTCCTCATGGAGTTATCTTCCAGGTAGAAGATGCAAAGAATAAATTTATGGACAGGTGACACACAGGTGCCCCAGGTAGGGACTCGGGACTGGCGTGGAGTGCAGCTTTCCTGAGGCGCCATCGAGGGGGATGTGTAGGGTATAGTCCAGGAGAATGTGACAGTCTTAGTCCTGTGTGCATCTGTGGGGAAGGTGCATCTAGCAGGGCTCAGAGTGCTCGGGCAGGGTGTGGCTGGTGGTGATAGTGGCTCGAGAAGGGCAGGGGAGGGGTAGGACCCCTGCACAGGGTGGGGCCTGGTCCGCAGCAGATGGGGCCCTATAGGTGCTAGTTGGTGATGTGGGGAGACTGGCATGACCGGACAGAGCCTGTCAAGGAGGGAGAATGGGCGGCTGGGACCAGGTGCACAGGGAGGGCGTGAGGCCCCGTGGAGATGTGCTGGAGTGAAAGTGACAGGTTTGGAGAGACCAGGTGTTCACGTGGTACAGAGATTTTGGGCTGAAAGCAAGTGTGGAAGGTGGCACAGATCGGGGGGTAGGCCTGGGGTAGTTCAGGGCCCACTTCCTGTGTGCAGAGTTAGAGATGCCTGTGGACACCCAGAGCCATTGTGAGTGGCGCTCGGGGATGAGGTCTGGGGCAGAGACACACATCTGAGAGGTGTCACCGTGGAGATGGTGCCGGGCAGTGGGCATTGACACAGGAGAGGAGGCAGGGCGGAGCCCAGGAGCACCCACCATTAGACAGCCAGGGAGGTGAAAGCTCTGTGGAAAGGGCCTGAGAGCCAGCAGAGGGAAGGTGGGGGCAGGAGGAAGGCGGAAGGGTAAGAATGAAGATAGGGGGACGGTGTGGCTGAGGACAGGGTGGTGTACAGGTGAATGGCTGCATAGGTGGGTGAGTGGTCAAGCATGGACAGAAGGAAACCAGGAGGATGTCCAGACAAGATGGACAGAGTGATGGAGAGACAGATGGACAATTCTCGTATGAAAGTGTGTGGAAAGATGAACTGATGCTGCTCAAGGCCAGCTGTACAGATGAGCAAAATGACCCGGGAAGGAGGAAAGAGGAGGGATGGTATGAAAATGGATGGGCAGGCAAAGCTATGTTCTAAATGCTTGTGTCCCCACTACAAATTCACATGCTGAAATCCTGCCCCTCAATGAGACGGGGAGAGATGGGGCTTTTAGAAGGAGGTCAAGTCAGGAATGGGGTGAATGCCCTTGTAAAGGAGGCCCCTGGGAGACCCCTCCCCGCCTACCACATAGGACACAGAGGGCAGTGGACAGCCTGCAGTAAAGAGGGTAGGAGGGTGGGTGGGAGGCATGGAGGGGCAAATGGGAAGGACAGACGTCTGAACAAATAAGCGCGTGGACTAAGGCAGGCAGAAGTACAACTGCAGGGTGAGTGGAGGGACGACAGAAAGGTGGGATCAGAAGTGAACGCTTGAGAACAAGTTTGCAAGGCCTTGAGGAAGTTGCTTTGTGTCTCTGTGACTCAGTCCCCTCATCCACAGAGCAAGGATGTTAGTGGCATCTAATCCACAGAGATTTTATTATCATTAATTAAAATGTTCAATTCAGTTACATGATGGAAAGTGCTTAGGACAGTGTGCAGAATAGACTAAGGGCTCAACAAACACTGATTATTTCATGGTTATTGGTACTTGGCGGGTCAGCAGCACTGTTACCATTACTGTTTGTGAGTGAAGGGGAAATGGTCAGGTTGGTGGGTCAGCAGTGGAAGGAAAGGAGGAAGGAAGAAGAGATGGAAGATGAGTGGACGGAAAGACCATTTAGTTAGAATGGGAACAGAGGCTGTGGGGATGGTTGGGAGACAGAAGTGAAGGGGCAAAAGAAGCTGAGGGAATTAGCGGGAGGCCGGGCAGAGAGCGGCATGGAGGGCATGGGAGGGGCTGGGTGGACAGGTGTGTGCAGGTCGCCTGGCCTCTCCACCTGCAGCCCTCCATCCTTCCAGGGGATCCCATGACTGTCCTGGGAGTGGCCTTATCCCTCAGCCCTAGTCCCACCCGCAGGACAGTGTGCTGACACGTCTTCCTGGATGGCAGGTCCCGGCCTCGGCCACTGCCAAAGCCTTCCGTGTGGCCTTCCAGTTCCCCTCTGCACGGCAACACAGTGACGCCTTTACTCATGAGACGCTTCACATGAGCCTTTCTCTAAAATCCTTCAGAGATGCCTCATTTCACTCCAAGTAGAAGACAAAATCCTGACTGTGATTTACCAGTCAGTCTCTCTGCTCCCAACTCTGCTGGTCCTCCCCAGTTCCAGCCTCACTGGCGCTGACCCTGACTTTCCTTGCCAGTGCTGCCTCTGCCTGGAATGTCCTTCCACGGGCGTGCACACATCACCTCATCAGAGAGGACTTCTCCACTCACTCCCTGTGAAGCAGAACCTCATACCTGTGAGTTATATGACTGACTCTGGAGGGCCACTCTGCATGGCCAAGGCTGTGCACGGGTGAGGCTATGTGCTGCCTGTCACTGGGTGCTGGGTGGCTACTCACCACCTCACACGGAGGAGCAGGGGAGTCTGAAGACAGTTACTGAGCAGAAGTGATGACAAGGACAAGGTGAGCACGGGGACCAGCTTGCCCCTCAAACTGAGGGAGGAGGGTATGCACAGAGCAGCAGGCTGGGTCAATGGGTGGAGGGGGCAGAGGAGAAGCAGAGAAAGACAGAGATTCAGCAAACCCATGGTGGGTGTATGGAGAGATGGGTGGATTTGGTGGACCGGTGAGGACAGATGGAGGAATGGGGTGATGGAGCGTGGATGGGGGGACTAGCAGGAGGCCAGAGGGGTGTATGGGCTGAGTAAGTGGGGAGCAAAAAAAGCTGGCAAGGTGTGTGGGAGGGGGTGACTGATAAGCAGGGATGTTTATGGGAACAGCGAGAAAGGAACAATTACTAGGAAACAATTGCATGAGCAGGAAAATGGGGCAGAGGGTGGAAATCAAGACAGGGTTCTGGGCTAATGGGAGGAAGAAGGGGAAGGCTGGGAAGACAAAGGACAGACAGATGTGTCTCCACCCCGGTGAGGGTGGATGTCTGCTGACAGGGCCCCAGGACAGGGAGGCATGAGGACAGGAGGAAAGGAGGGCAGGGCCACGAGGACATGTCTGGGAAAGGATGGATGTTTGTGTATGGCTGGCAGGGACGTGTGTGGACGGTGGTGACTGTGTAAGACCCCACGCAGGGCGGGTGGAGGTGTTGGAGGGAGGGATGGAGGAGGAGGGTGGGTTATATAACAATAACACGAGGAGCTGGACCGAAGGAGGGAAGAAATGGCTCTGGGTGAGGGCGAGGCACGAGTGTGTCTCGTGTGGGTCTCGCCTCCTCTCCACAGTGCTCTGTGGCAGGCGCACCAGCTCTTCCGGGGGGGAATTGTGTAGAGATGGATGTAGTTATTTCCTGAAAGTAGGGGATGTGGCCAAGCCTATGCCTGGAACCAGAACCAGTGCAGAACACTGAGTGTATGGCTACGTGGACACACATGGGGCAGTAAGGGAGGACGGATGGATGGATGGGTAGCTGGTTGGACCAGCAGATGGGTGTGGGATGCTGATACCTGTGAAGGAGGAGTGGGCAATATGGGCAGACAGAAGCCTGTCCTTTCTGACTCTCCCATCGACTTCTCAGTGAGGTCAGGGAGCTACCCTGTCCCAGCTGCACCTGGTCCTCTGCTCCCGGCTCCACCCTGGCCTGGCCTGAGAGCTCTCTCCCGACCCTCAGCCTCTGTGCCTCTCTGGGCCCTCCCTCCATGCTGGCTGCAGCTCTTATAGCTTTGGACATATCTTCTTCTCTGTGTCCCCACATGGTGAGATCCCAGCCCTCCACGGTGGCCTCAGTCTGTCTGTCGTCCACAGAGGACGGGGCCCCGCCAATTGCCCCACTGCCCACTTTTGTGTCTCAGTGGATGCTCCTCCCTACCTGGCCACCTCCCCTCTCACTGTCCACCAAAGGCCCCCTCCTCCCAGAAGGTCCCCGGCCCTGAGCCCAGGCTCACCCCAGGCTGGGAGCGAAGTATTTCTTTGAAACAGCACGAGCCCTTTCTATCCTGTCACATGCCCTCTGTCCACCCACCCATTCAACCTGCATTCCCTGACCCCCATGTTGGTCAGCCTTGCCTGGGGAAATGAAGAGACACCAGGGGAAGAGACAGGTATGGTGGGGTGAGCAGAGGGTGCCTGAGGCTTCCAAGCAGAGAGACCGGCTCCTACAAAAGCTCCCAGGATAAGTTGGGGGTTCACATCATTCATGGTGTGTTCACAGGAGGATGGGGCGAAGAAGTGTGGTGGGGCCAGGAGATGGATTGGAAATGGGTCTTGAAGGGCTTTGAACGCCAAGATGGGGAGCTGGACATGATGCAGTGGACAGTGGGGCTCCAGCATCACTGGGAGGCAGCTGGTGGGGAAGGCAGGAATGGAGAAGGGGCTCTTGTATCTCTGCCTTCCCCAGACACCAGGCTAAGCAAAATATGGCCTCAGTCTCTGTGTTGCAGGCCCAGCCTACAGAGAGCTGGACTGGCCTGTGGGGGTAGATGGGTGGCTAAGGGGTGGAGGGACATGTTGGGGCAGGCAAGGACATGCTGTCTATTTCACACCTGCCACACACCGGCCTCCATCCACCTGCCTGCTGTGTGGCTGTTTCTGTTTGTTACGTGAGTAGACAAGGGGCAAGGCTCAGGGAGGTGAGATGGAGTGTCTATCCCCAAAGCTCAGCTTTTAGCCCAAACCTTTTGACCCAAAGTCCACCCAGTGCCCTTGGTCTGCACGTGGTGGAAGGTGCAGCCGGTCAGGACACCTGCAGCTAGAGAAACAGATGGACAGATTCCCAGGCGGGAGGGGGGGCCCAGGGCTGGCCAGTCCCATCCTCCCCTCTGCCCGGGACAGAAGCAGCTCACGTGGCACTCCCTTCCAGGGAGAAAGACAGGAAAAGCAGACCCAGCGTGAGGTGTAGTGGGCACTCCCTGCCCCTCAGAGGGACAGTTCCCAGCACCCCCAGCCCAGCACAAATCTGGCACCATTCGAGAGCACTGACCTACCTACAACCCATGCCAGATGGGCCTGCCCTGCGCCAGCCAGCCAGCCACAGCCTGAGCCAAAGGGGAGGAGGGGACAGCTTCCGGACAGCAGCCCAGGCAGCCGGGCCATGTCGCAGGCTGTTGGCAGGGCACAGTGAGAGGGCACCGGGAGGCAGCTCTGCAGCTGCGGCTTCAGCTCCCCGACAGTTGCACACTCTGCTCAGCACTGGCCTGGGGAGCAGGAGGCAGGTCTGGGAACTGCACCCCCAACTGTGGGGACTCCTTTACTTTGCTGCCCCCTCAGCAAATGCACACACATATGCACACCCAACAATGCACACACATGCATCACACTCACTTGCATGCACACACAATGCACTGATTCCCATGCTCATGAGCACACACACATTTGCACATACACTCACGCACATTCACACACAATATACGAAGGCACCCTCGTGCATACACACAGTACGTTTACACTCATACATGCAATTATACTCATGTGCACAGGTGTGCACACACATTGATACACTCACACACAAAATACATTCACATGTATGCAATTCCATACACGCATGCGCACATACCACATTCCCATGCAGTCATGCTCTGACATGCATGTGCGCTCACGTGCAACATACTATACTGGGGCAGTCACAGACTCACACGCTGGCACATGCTCCCTTACACACACTGCCCTGGGCTGGCCTGAAGATGAGATCAGTGATGGCAGAAGAGGCAGGGCTGAGGCTGAGTCAGGAGCAGGACAGGAAGTCAGGTGGCCGGGCTGGATCACAGGCAGAGCTGTCCGAGTGACCTGCCTCCCAGGTCAGCCTCCGCCCGGCCCTTCTTCCTGGCAGTTCTGGACCTCTCCCCTCTCACCGGGCACTGGTAGGCAGTGGAGGCCTCTGGCCTCTGCCATTCAAGTCTAGGTGGGGAAAATGAGGACCTGGCTAAATGTGAGCCAAGCCCTTCCTTCTGGACTGTGGCCTCCCTCCCCCCGCTGGTGGGTCTCCAGCCCAGGACAGGGCAGGCCCCCATAGCAAGTCCCTCACAGCCTCCTCCTGAAGCCTCAGTGTGTGTCTCTCTGTTTTGCCTTTGTCACCTGGGGTCCTGGCACCTGGCACCTGGCTCTGCTCCCAGTCAGCTCCTCTCACAGTGCCCAGGGGCTCTAGTAGGCAAGCCCACCTGGGGTGTGGGGTCAGGGGCTGTGCAGGACATGTGCACATCTCTCTCCCCTGGGCTGCCTGGCCACCAGGACTATGCCCCCCACTCAGTGCCTGGCATCAGGCTCCAGAGTGAGGGCTTGGGTAAGGAGGTCTCCAGCCATTCTCCTCTGAACCAGAGAGATGCCCAACCTTCTATGTTCCACGCCACCTGCACCCTGGACCCCAGGGTGCTGTTGTCCAGGTCGATCCCCACATTCCCACCCAGAGGATGGGACTCCAAGCCCTGCTCTCACCCCCTCAGCCCCTCCAATGGGCTCTGCCAGGCCTGCCTTGCAAAGAGCCCGTTCCTGGTGGCCCTGTCGGCCCTGTCAAGACACCCAAGAAGCTGTCTCAGCTCGGGAAGTGGAAGGGCAGACCACTGCTGATCAGGCCTGCACAGACCCACAAACAAGACCCCTCACGCTCCTTACATTTCTTGAACCAGACTGGGCCAGCTCCACTGTGTCCCAGCCCCTCTGGTGTGGGGGTGGGGTGGGGAGGAGCAGAGCACTGAAGTGGCTGGCCTGCAACCCACTCACCTTGAGGGAGTAGGCCAGGGCGATGAAACCCAGGCAGCAGAAGTTGAGGTAGACGAAGTTGAAGATGGACCACAGGTAGTAGTCATTGACCTCGCTGCTGTCCGGGTAGACCTCCACCACAGTTGCTGGGTTCGCCACTGTCTTCTTCTCAGCCAGGTGTTTGCAGGCCTGGGGGGCGCTGGTGGCTCGCACACTGTCCGTCTTGCTGCTTTTGGACTCCATGGGGAACAGCGTGGGCGCCATGGGGGGAGAGGCCGAGGGCTCCGGGGCGGGGGCCGCGGAAGCTTGCAAGGCAGGGGGCTTGGACACACAAGCAAAGCAGCCCTTGGGAGAACCTGCCGGGGGCCTCGGGATCCAGAAGGCCCCGTCCAGGGGGACTCGGGCTTCCTGGGCGCCGTCCGTGGTGCTGCCGGGGCTCCCAGCGGTGCTGGGCACTGGCGGGGGGCCCTGGGCCTGGAGGGAGGGAGAAAGTAAAGGATGAGGTGGGCCCTGCAGGCCTGGCAGCACCCACTTTCTCACCCTGCAGCCCCAGTAACTGTGGAGATGGAAATCCCCACCCTAGAAGCCAGCTGCCAGCCTGACATCTGCCTCCCCCACCCCCTGTGGCCGCTGCGCGCTGCCAAAGCCCTTCGCAGCAGCTTTGGCGGGGACATGGGGCTTTTCACCACTTTGCCATCTGCGCACAAACATTCACCCACTGACACCCCACACTCCGACTGGCATCCCAGCACCTCACACAACCCAGTGCCCCCCAGGGCACCAGACCCCTGACCCTGCCTTGGCCACTAACGTCAGAGTGAGCAGCGCTGCCAGGGCACCTGCACGCAGACGCGCTGCACCTGGGACACAGACACCAGCACTGCCCGCGGCTCTCCGGATCCCGCGCGCGCCCCGCAGGCGCCAGACACCACCAGGTAAACAACTCCCCACGCAGGCGACAAGGGTTCAGGACGCAGGTCCAGGACGCTGGAGGACGGACGCAGGTGCGGGGCCTCCAAACGCCGGCGCATCGCCCCTTCCTCCCACCCAAAGACCCCTGGCGCGCACGTTCTCCAGGAGCCACTCACCCCGGGCCGCAAAGAGACGCACAATGACGCGCCGCAGGACCAACACTTCAACCTGGTATCGAGTCACCCGCGCCGGGGAGTCTGCGGCGAGGCTCCCCGCTCCGCCCGACCCCTCCGCCCCGCGCTGCTGCAGCCGCCCGGACGGCGCGTCCTCACCTACTGGCGACTCCTTGGCAGTCGGCCGGACCCTGCGCCTCCCAGCGCGTCCTTCCGCTGTCCCGCGGGTCGCTGTCTGTCCGCCCAGCCGCGTCCCGGCGGCCCAACCTTGGGGGCGGGAGCGCGCGGGGCTGGCGGCGCAACCGCCTCCCCCGCCACCCGCGCTCCCTCCGCTGCGCCAGGCTGGCCGCACCGCTGCAGCCCCGGCCTGACTCACGGCCGGCCGCAGCCTCCCGCCTCCGCCTCCTCCCGCCTGGGGGAGGGGAATCGGCTCCCGGATCCGCGACCCTGCTGGGATCCCCCCCACCTCTCTGAGGCCCTCTCCATCTGCCTCCCCAGGAAGCCCCTTCCGGTGGGTGTCCCGGCCTCACCAAGCCCCTCCCCGCTTAGCCCACCAAGTTCAGGGTCCTCCCCCCCACTAAGGTTCAGTGCCCCCCACTCGGTTCCCTCTTCTTTGAGTCCATCCTGTTTAGAGGTCCTCCTCACCCCTCCCAAATCTGACCCCCACCAAGCCGAGCCCTATCCGTGCTGATCTCGCTGATCCCCCAGGATGGGAGCAGGTGACCCGGTGCTTTCCCTGCACAGAGAGCTCCCCTCTGCCTGCAGAGCCAAGAGTCCCACCTGCTGAGATCCTGGACACTAGGACACTTGGGTCCTTGGAGCTGGGTCCACCACCTGCCCACAGCCTCTCTGTGAATCCTGCCCTTCCCATCTGGGCTTGTGGTCTTCACAAATTACTCCCTGGAGTCAATGTCTGTCCTCCCAGCCTTGGTTCCTCCAGGCCCTCATCTACCCTAGCACATACTCCTACTCTCTTGGACACTCGTCCGCAACTGATCTCCCAGCCCACAAAAGTTCCAGTGAGGCCTCTACCCCAAGGAAAAAGTGCCCAACACTCCCCTTCACCACAAGGCACCAAGGTGCTCTCTTGGAGAGGGGTCTGCCTCCCCCCAAAGCCCTGACCCTGCCATGGGCTTCTGTGCTACCTCTGCCCCTCTTCCTCTTCCTCTCCCCGAACCAGGTCGTGGCCCAGATCCCCACCCTGTGAACCTCCCTTCTCCTCTGCCCCCCTGTGCTCTGACCCCGCCCCCCTGTGCTCTGACCCGGCCACCCTGTGAACCTCCCTTCTCTATGTTCTGACCTCCCACTCTGAGAACCTTCTTCTCTGCCCCTGTGCTCTGATCCCCAACCCTGTGAACCTCCTTTCTCCTCTGCCCCTCTGTGCTCTGACCCCCCCACCCTGTGAACCTCCCTTCTCCTCTGCCCCCCTGTGCTCTG